TATCTTTGCATATATGTATCAATTTACCACCATATCCTAGAGTCATAGCGAAACTAAATGAAAATAATAATCCTAGAACAAGGAAGGAATTGCTATATGCCTGGATTTTCAGTTTGGCATTTTCAATTCCAGAAATGCATAATATTTGCTTCTGTTCATTTTTAAAACAAGGAAGGAAACACATTATAAATAGCACAAGATGTTTATTATATCTTAAATAGAGATATATATATATATATATATATATAAATTCATATCTGAATGTATATAAAGCACATTACCCCACGGTAATAGCAACAGCAATTGATAAAACAAGGTCAACTGATTTCCCACAGCCATGAGCAGCCAACAAGGAAGGGAAAAAAAACCATAGCCAATTAGAAGCACCCCAACACTAAACCCGAACAACAAATGCACGTGAAAATCAACTTCATGCAATGAATATGACCTTTACAACATTTGAACAACGCACTAACCGAGATTCTCAAAGAAAAAGAAAATGAGAAAGGAAGCATTCCAAGCAAAAATAGCTGATGAGGAACCACTTAAAAGATCCAAACTCTATGGCTAAGGATGAAGTTCAGATCAAAAACTGAACTAAAAAAGACCACAAAGAAAGGACACTGTTTGAAAAAATAGAGGAGCAAAGTAGACATACAACCATGAAAAAGATTAAACTAAATGAACAGAGGAGCAGCACAGGCTAAAGGAATGAAAAGACTAAACTAGGAAGAATGGCTAATAGGTAACTTAGATCTCTTCTCTCTGCTCATCCTCTTCTTCGTCAAGTGTTATCCCCTATTGGGCTTCCTTCGACCAACAGCTTCAGTGGTGGCTTTTTCATATTTCACCATTGAAGAAGAAGGATGTATCCTAGACTAAATGAAAAGAGAAGCAACGCAGGCTAAATGAATGAAAAGTAGAAAAAATCCTCCACCAAGAACGCAAGAAAAGCATTAGATGATGAAGAAGAATAAAAAACTCGAAACATAGAGGAACAAAGGGCTGAAGGAAGGTAAGGAATGAGATGAAAGGAAGAATCTTATTTACCAAAGACAGTCGATGGGAGTAGATCCAATGACGGCAACCTCAGATCTGGTAGACATGGTGGAGATCGAGAAGTGACAAGGAGAAACCACTTCTGAGCAGGGAATGCTGGATGCAAGATTGAAAGGTGAAGATCTTGGTGCTTGAACGTGGAGATCTTCGTGCTTCAATTGAGGTAGAGATCACCTGATCAATGCGGTGTGTAGAGCTCGGGAGGTGAAGAGCAGAGGAGGGTGAAGCAGATCTGGAGATGCAAGTTCGGAGGTCACGGGAGGAAGATAGCATGCATAGCAACATAAAAAAAACCGAACAGCTCGTAGGGTAGATACACAGCTTATGGAGAGAGAAAGCATAAATATTTAAACTTCATTAAATGCTTGCAACGGCTTCTAATGCTGACGCTAATATAAAAGTTGGTCTGTGAGCTTCCAAAAAAATGCTCATTTAAGGCTAATTAAGGTTGAGATTTTTCCCTAATCCAAACAACATAAAATGAACATTTTATATTCTAACTTTAGTTTGGTTGATTCTAATTAAAATTGAATGTTAATTCAAACATGCACTTAAGCATCCACCCATCCTCGGGCTTCATTAGGCCTTTGAAGAAGCCTAGTGATTTATAATTTTTCAACTTTAAGTGAATAATGAAGGCTACATCGATTTAAGAAACGAGTAGATAAACTTTGGAAGAGGAAAAAGACAAACTTTTTCAGATCATCTGAACAATCATTCATTTTCATTCAACCGCACCCTCGGATTCGGACCGAATTCTCAACTTCTCAACAACCACGCTGCTTTCTACTCTCTATAATATGAACACTATGAATCAGTGATCAGTATACCCACTCTGTCGCATTCGTTCCATCACTCGCTTTACTAAACCTCTTTTTCCGGTCAACGTTACTCTATGTCCCCGCTCTATTGCTCGATCCTCTGGCTTGATCTTTTTTTTGGGTCTTCATTTTCATCTGCTGCCCTGTTTCTCCAATGGCTCGGAGGCGAAATGAACCGGAGCTCACTCTATCAACTGGTTTGATTCTCCTGATGGTGTGCTTGGTCTCATGCGGCATGGTTTATGCTTTCGTCTCTTCTGTGTTTGCAATCTCCAGCGGCGCCTCTTCTTCAGGTTCACGTTCTGCCTCCATGGCATTGTTGGACCAGGACGGTGCTACTGGTAGGGCGGATCAGGGTTATGGAGGAGATAATGGAGGATGCTGTAGAGGAATTGATAATTTGGAGCTCTGGGGCGCGACTGTGAAGTGGGGTTCTGAGTTAAATTCAACAGTTCCGAAGGTTGCTGCAACGCTTGTAAATCCATGTGTACTGGCAAAGATGGACCATGTTTGTGCGATACCTGGGTGTTTTGTGGGAAACGTGAGACTTGTGGATCCAAATTTGGTGAGGTAAGTTACTTTCTAATTCTTGCTTGAAGATCTACTTGTGTGTGTGTGTGTGTATTCATTGACATATTACTCCTCCTTTATTTCTAGATGCTATCTCTTTATATGGTTTCTAAGTATGAATATTGATTCAAACAACCAATGTAAAATAGAGCATTGTTGGTAGTTACAATATGGTAGGAAAGAATTTCATTTAATTTCAGATTTTAGATATTGAGTTTCTTTTGGATCCTCAGTATGATCATGAGCATAGAAGTCACTGCATGTATATTCATTATTTCAGTGTTGGTTGAAGAAACAAATGGACGGCTTAGCCCCTGAACGGCAAGGAGCTAAGGAAACAGTTGGCTGGACTTCTGGTGTCATCTATGGGATGGGAGAGGTACTGAAAGTTTGATATTTTAGAATGAATGTGTTGGAAAGAGCTGTCATCAACAAATGAAACTAAGGCATGCTTTAACATTCTCTCTTCCATAAGCCTTATTAGTATGTCAGTGATATGCTAATTATCTTCAAAATGGATTTTTCTTTTGGTTATTCAAAACTAAGTATTGAGATGGGGTTTCTTGAAGAGAGACGAACAGTTGTTCACTATATCTGGTGCCCCTAACCACCTGCTGGTAATGCTATTGAGCTGAGATGGCATTGCATTCATTTGATGTCATTGGGTAATATTGTTTCTTTGTTAAAAAAAAAAAAATCTGATCGTGGAAGTGTAACGGGCTCATCTATAAGGGAGAAACTTGAAATTTGACTTTAGCAATGCAGCCAAAGACCTGTGGTAAGAGCATAAGATACTTTAGTTCTTTATGGCAATTAGAAGATTCTTTGTTCAGCATAATCTTTGGAGGGGCAAGTCATGGGATGCATGACAATATGTGATTATCTAAGCGACCTATTTTATATTATGTACCAAGGTGTGGTTTGCTTGATGGTATGGGATGGGATGAATATGATATATCCAAGCAGAACACCAACTTTTGTATTTGATGTCTTGTGATTATTGAGTAATCTTGGGCAGATTACACATGTAAAATTGTGTTCTCTCTTTCAATCCTCAGTTATAGCTTACAAGTCCCTGTGTGATGTAATACAAAGTTTGAACTTTATAATGTTATGAATGATTAAATTGTTCATTAGTATACTTTTTTCAATTATTTATTTGCAGGGTATTATTGGGCTGGAAACTGAGTATGGAACTCTTCATATAAAGGTAAGTAATCATGCTTGTGTGTGTGTGTGTGTGTGTGTGTGTGAAATCAAACTGGTCTATTTGAAAGTGCAATTGGAACCCTTTTCCCAGTACAGTAAGTTCAGGAGTCAAAATACCAAAAACACCCATGTGGGTGTGATCTTCTTGTAAACTTTGAAAGCATTTCTCTCTTCTCCAGTGTAAAATTGATAGCACAATGCACAAAACACCCTTGGATGAAACATTTCTCTGAATATAATACCTAAGACAGTGGGTTTTTGCTGTGTGTGTGTGCTAGAAGCTGATGCAGTTATTAACCCAATAGATTATTATTTATCATTATGATGTGTTGTGATTGTAGTCAAAAGCCAAAAGCCTGTTGCTTGCAGAAAACGCAACTCCCGACATGTTATTATCTGTAGATTAGCTTTTTAATGATTCGTTTTGGTGCACATTTACACCAACTTTAAATACTATATGGTGCAGCTTTTCCCCGACTGTGCCCCTCATTCTGTTGCTTACATTCTAGAGCTGTTGGCTTTGCGCCATTGTGCCGGCTGCCACTTTTACCGTGCAGAGAGCCGAGGTGATTCATGGGATTTGGCAGGAAACCATGTAGAAAACGTAAGACTCTGAAATTTCCTGGTCTGATGCTTTCATGGCACATAAAGGCACACGCATTTTCTTTATCAGATTATCCATCCAAATTCTGTAATGGAATAATTCTCTTTATTCCAGGCTGCTTTTGGACCACCTTATGGATTGGTTCAAGGGATACTAGAAGCACAAGGGACCACATTCAAGGAAATCCCTATAGAAGATTGTCCTATTCTTAAGAGAGGTTCAGTTGCTTGGGTTGGTTCTGGCCCCGCATTCTTTATTAGCCTGGCTAATCATGTGGAATGGGGACATGCACACACGGTGTTTGGATCTGTTTTTCCAGAAGACATGCATATTGCCGAGAGAATTGCCACACTTCCTACCACATCTGATGTGTGGAACAATGTTAATGTTACTGTCTTGGAAAAACCTGTCCCTTTGTTCTTACGAAGAATCGAGAAAAGCCACGGAGAGTTTTAACACTGATGCAGATTTCTGTTGATGCAAATGATGATAACTCTTATGTTTCTAAAAGCATACGTCTATGATCCTGCGATTTTGTTTGAAGCAGACACTTCTGCCATGTATTTATGCTGACATTTGATTCTCTTGTTCATATTGTCTAGCTCAATTTAACTGTGGGCAAGAATTTTTTCTAGTTCATGTTGCTATAGTGGAATAAAAACTCTTGACTTGTTTTGACACGTTGAAGTGAAGAGATTTAGATATTCATTGGTAGAGATTGAATTCATATACCAACATAGAAGCAACTTAACTAAATTTAACTGGCTAGTGCCAAACCCCTAGGGGTTGTAAGTCTTGAATACATGAATGTTCTTAATTGTAACTTCTCTATAGATGCAAGGAATTAGAAGACCAAACATGGAACCTAAGACATTGTCTCTCATTCTTGGTCCTAACGAACCATGCATAAGAATATTGCCACTAACATTAACATCCCAAAAACTAAAAATATTGTCTCTAATCCTGAATACATGGATGTGCTAGTTATAGCTTCAGACTAGTGGTGAATTAGGAGACATGCCAATCCATGGCATGGCTTCAGCTGGCTTCTTGGCATTGTTTGTTTGATATGGAGCTCTGGCAGCGATTCTGGAAATGCAAAAGAAAAATACTTGTCATTTAATGAACAATAATACAATATGCACAGAAATGCAACAAGCAACATTTCTTGATCAAAGTTCTTTATTTGTTTGAGAGAGCCTACCTATCCTTTCTCTTCTCCAAGAACCGATGAAGTGAAGCTTTCCTAGCAATTGGTAGATCTGTATGAAAAGGAAATCGATGATCAGAAACACAATATTGTCCCATTGTCTCAAAAGCATACAAGTCAAACAAAAGGGAATTACCAGCAATAACAGGTCTGGGTTGTGCTTGAGAGTGCTCTTGACCCAAATTGCCGGCAGCATTAGGATCAGCAGAAATTGTGACCAAATTAGGAGGAAATGAAGGATAAGCATAAGCAGATCTGTTGAGAGTTTGGGAGTTTCCTTTGCCTGCAAGGGCCATGATCTCCTTGGCTTTTTCAGCTGGAAAATCATCAAACACAAGAACTTGTCCACCATAGAAGATTGTCAACTGTGCAGATTTAGGCTCCATACTCACAGGATTCATCACACTGTACATCAGGAAAAGAGCTCATACATCAATATTTAATATTATTTGGTAACTATAATCTTTGAAACCCTAATCAAAAATTGAGGAAACAAGCGAACGGACCAGGGATTCACAGAAGTCTTGGTCGGAAGAAGGTTCTTAATGGTTGCAGAGTGACAAGATGTCTCAGGAGACCCTGTAAAAATTACTTCAAATTCAGAGAGATCTTCAAAAGCATGCAAGTAGGAATATAATCCATGTCCCCAAATATTCTCCAGTCTACTCACAATATCTCAAACCTTATATTGTTCCCAATAAGGAAACTAAGGCCAGGAAAAAAGAAACAGTCGAGCGTTTCCGAAAACGTAAACAGAGTTTTTATAGGAGAAGATTTTGGAAAGTACATATAATTGTCGGAAAGTATCTCTAAATTCTAAACTCCAAATCTTATAGTAGGAGTAATTTGAACAGTAATCTTTGTCAAATTAGAGAAAATTACAAGGACGCCTGATGCATTCGTTAGATCCATAGTTTCAAGTTTATAGCAACCGAGGTTGGTCCAAAAAAAAAAAAAGTTTATAACAACCGAGAGGGAAAGCAAAATTAGAAATAGCAGGAAACTTGTCTCCTATTATCCTATTCTAAGATTTACTTTACGTCAACTAAATTTAATGGAGAACGAAGTAAGATGAAAGGAATTATATGTCTATTTTCCGGGAATCCAAACAGAGAACAAGCAACATCCGATATTTGCGAGAAGGAAGAAAACAGCAAGAAAAAAAAGAGAGAGAGACGAAAAAGAGAAAAAACTTGAAATGTCTGGAAAATCAAACCATACCGGTGCCTTCGATGTTGCATGTCATTCCGAGAGTAAGATCTCCGAAGCTGCCTTTCTCCTTGAGGTACTGACTCAACAGGCTACAAGTCTGAGAGAAGGCTGACTGCTCCGACGACTTGGCCAGCTTCAGGTCAGAAACCTCCGAGTTCTCCGACGAGCAGGACATGTTTGCCGGCGAACACAACCACAAGGCTCTCTTTCTCTTTCTCTTTCAAACTTGAAATTGGAGAGAATACAGAAAAGGGTACGATTATATAATTTCTGGAGGAGAAAATAAAAGGAGGAAGAATTAAAGCACGAGGAATACATGGTGGTACTAAATAAAACACTGAAAAGTCTTATTTCGTGGAAGCTGTACCACAAATACAATACAAGTCGTCCAGTGGACTCTCTCATAAAAGACTTTATTATTTGTCTATTAATTTAATTTAACAGCATCAATAATTTAATTCGTGTGGCGGTGGGTGACTAATTCCAACACGTGTTCCTTGCGTTCGGTCGTACAACTCGCAGCATTAGATGAAAACGGCCAAGCCCCGGCGCGGCCTTTGTCCCCTGCATTTACGGGCATGCCCTTCCTAAAATGCCATTTTTAAAATTATTTTTTGATTTAATGTCTTACCTTTTCAATTCCTTTCGTACCATTCTAGCAAGAAAATGACAATTCGTAACTACCAATTAAGGTTGGTTCTGGTATAAGATAAAAAACAACTTATTAGATTTACTAATTTACTAATGTTTAAATTTTTCCCTTGGAAAGTAAAGGTATTGGTGATCAACATTACACTTTATAATTTATATCATGAAAAATGCAATCATTATTCTCTATAATTTTATTAAATTTTACTTTTAAATTATATAGTTTTTTAGTTCTCAATCCTTATAATTTTAATAATATTATATAATTTTTTTGAAGTCCCCAAAAATTTTAAATTATAAAAATTATAAAGATTGAAAACAAATTACATAAATTAAAAGTAAAACTCAATAAAACTATAAGATCATTGATTATATTTTCCCTTTGTATTATCATAATTCATGGAGCTAACAAAATTAATTCATATGGTTTATGATTTATTATGAATCCTATAACTTGTTATAAATTTGATATTTGATATTATTAATATTGATTATGAGATAACTTGTTATAAACTTGTTATTAATATTGACTATAAAAATAATATAAGTTTAAAATTTTATCAAGAATAAATAGTAACTTTGAAAAATATAAGTAATTATTTCAACAAGTATAAAACAATTTTATTTTTCCAAACACAGTTGATTTTTAAATTTTTGTACCATTGAATTTTTAAGAATTTTTATTTACTATTCTTCCGTTATATAGTGTTCGTTCGTTCTTATCTCCACTTGCCAGCAACTTATCATTTTTGTCTCTCGCTTTCTTTGACCCCATGATGGAAATAAGGCATCTCTTTGCCGCCAAGCAAGATTAACTTAAACAATGTATAGTTAGTTAAGCAAGATTTAACTTCTTCACTTCATTAGGAATGCCACTTTTTAAAATTTAAAGTTTATTAAGGTTTTTTTTAGGATTAAATATAAATTTGTCCTCAAACTTTTTCTTTAGGGATGCCTAGCACCCTAAATTTTTTTTAATATTTTTGCCCTAAACTTTTCAAAAAAAGAGCATTTTTGTTCCACCGTTAAATATAAAAAATGTTAACTATTAAACTAAAATTTAACCAATAGTTAAAGGGCATATTTATCCTAAAATTTTTTCTTCAGGGACGCTGGGTATCCTAAATTTTTGTTCGGAGTTCATTTTTCCTGAAACTTTTAAAAATGGAACAATTGTGCCCTCCCTTCTCCTTCATCATCCTTTTCTTCTTCTTTTTCTTCCTCCTCTTCAACTAGTAAGCTCCCGCATTACCATAGATTGTGAAGTTGGAAAAAATGAGTGTCCGAAATTTGCGAGTCTTGCAAGAAGTCTCGCATCTGAATCAACACTTTCACCCTCTGATAAATGACTATTAAAGCCGACAACATCGCTGTTATATCCATCAAAGGCAAATTCATCATTCTTAACTTCTCCTAAATTGCTGTCATCCTCCCCTGATTTGCCATGTGCTCCTCACGTAACATCTAAGCTGCTGCTATTGCCACTGACACCATGGTCAAGTTTGATGCTGTGAAGCCCTCAAAAGCATCTAAGTCAAGGTTGAAGTCTGCAGAGTCATCATAGTTGAGTGAGCTAGTGAAATTGTCAAATATGGAAGAAGAGAATTTTCACGTGGCAAGTTCATTTGGATTAACTCAACGGATAGTTAATCCTTTTCAGGTATAAGTATGTGTTTGGATGATTTGGAATTACTTGTTATTGTTCTTACTTGCTTTTCATGGAGTTGTTTTTGCTATTGTTATTGATGCTAAATGAGGTGTTCTTGCTATCTAGGTGAATTTTTTATTTTTTTTTAAATTTTGTGTGGCTACAAGTGGCAATTAAAATCAAAGTAATGGTCAATATTGATGGCAAGGCAAAATTACTCTTCTTTTAAAATTTTCAAGAAAATAAGTTCCAAACAAAAGTTTAGGATACCTAGCATTCTTAACAAAAAGTTTCAAGGCAAACATGCTATTTAACTCTTAATCAAATTTTAATTTAACAATTAACATTTTTTATATCTAACAGTGGAGCAAAAATGCTATCTTTTTGAAAAGTTTGGAACAAAAATGCTCTAAAAAAAGTTTAGAGTGTCAGACGCCCTTGAAAAAAAAGTTTCGGGACAAACTTGACATTTAACCCTTCTTTTTAAAATTGTGATGAACAAGTGTTTATGAATGAATGACAATTGGTTTATTAATTTGAAAATAAAAGTGCACTTTAATCCCTTAATATTAAAGTAAATTTTATTTTAGTCGTATTAATTCTTCAATGTTTAAGATCTAAACAAAAAATTCATAAATCATATGTTAGTGAAGTTTAAAAATTAAAGGGCAAGTGAACAAATTGACTCTTAAAGTATATGTCTAGATGTTTCTAAAATTTTAAACTCATCTTTCGTACAATATCTTCTTTCAACTTTTGAAAATAATACAATCTAACCCTTATTGTTAATAAAAAAATAACTTTGATAATTAATTGATCAGAAAATGATAAAAATGATACAAAATTTTATTTGTCTTTTTCTGTATTTTTTTGAGTTATTATCTATACTTTTGGAATATTTTCTGTAATTTTTAAATTTTTTTATACTTTTAGATGTCATTTTTTAATCAATTAACAATCAAAATTAAATTTTATTAATTGAAACAGTCAAATTGCACTATATTTAAAAGTTGAAAGAAAATGTTACATAAAAGATGAGTTTAGAGTTCTAAACGTTTCTAGACCAATAGGTTAGAAGCTAATTTTTTCATTTATCCAAAATTAAAATAAAGCATGTGTCAAAGTTAAAGAATCGAATGTACACTTTTTTTGAATTGCATAAATGTGTTTTCTTGTTAAAGATAATTTTATTCAAAATATGATTAGATAATAAAAATACTAATTATTAAAATGAAAAATATTTTTATCAACTAATTTGATTTTAAAATATTTTAATTAGGTTAATTTTAACATGATTTTTCCCATTTTCTTTCTTTTATAAAAATAATGACATACAACATGATATATTTTAACACAAGATTATATTTTTTTTTTTCCTCACTCTCCATTTTCTCATATTTTTCTTAACATAAATAACAATTTTTTTTTAATTTTCTTTGCTTTTCATTTTCTTTCTTTTCATTTTTTTGCTCTCAACCTTTTTCCCCCCATCTGAATAGACAGTAGATATGAGTGATCACCTCTCTTAAGGAAAACTAAATTGAGAAAATCTTATATAAATTTTACACAAAAAATTAATTATTATGAATTTTATTAACAACTAAGTAGTTCTTAATAAATTTTTTAATAATTAATTTTTTTACGTAAGATTTTAACATAATTTTTCTAATTAAATTTACATTTTTATCTAATTAATGGAGTGGTCCCCTCCGAGTGGGAGAGGACAAAATTTCGGAAAAGTAGGAATTACCCCCCAAAAAAAAATGTCAGAGCGAGTAGAAGCGTACGGAAAAAGTAAATATCAACGAAAAATTACTATTTGTTAGCATAAAAAACATGTTTTATTTGAGATAGGCATCTCCATTGTCATGTTAATTATTACTCCTCATCCTTTAGTTCTTATCATGAAAGCACGCCACCCACTTTACATAAATTAAAGATATGTATTGGTTAAAATTACTTAAACGTTAAAAATTGTATAAGTTCTTAAAATTTCATACAATCAAGTGTGAAAATTCCGAGTGAAAGAGATAGGTACATTTTTTTAAGATAAATCATAAATGTTTCATTCATCAAACGAAATTAATGTCCCTGAAAAGGGGTCCTCTTAATAGAATTGGAGATAGTTTTTTTTTTAAAATATCCCTTGTATTTAATTAGCTCCTTGTACTATTTAAGTGTACAGTGAAGATTTAAACAATACTCCAATTTGTATGTCCTCTAGCATTCAAATTGATGACATGCCTCTAGCAAACAGACTTTGTTTTTAATAAAACTGTTACTTCCATTAAAAATCACAAAAAAAAAAAAGAATTGATGTCTATTTTCTGTGAGGGAGACTATGTTATACTCCCTCCAGTCAAAAATATAATTATTTTTTAGCTAATTTTAATTGAAAATATAAATAATTTAGTATATGTAAAAAATAATTTTATCATTTTACCTCTTATATTTATTAACTTAAATATTCATGTAAATGTATCTCTCACTCGTCATGAAATACTTTAGTAATTTAACTTAGGAGAAAAAAGAAAAAATAATATATATTTTTATGGAAATAAAAACTTTATTGATATGTGAATTTTTCTTAAAAATTGTTTATATTTTGAATCGGAGAGAGTATATTCCTTTATGTCCTAGCTAAGATGGTAAAAATAAGATAAACTAAATCTGAAATATAAAATATCAAAATTTAAAAATTACAAAAAAAAAAAGATTAAATGAGTTAATTGTAAATAATACATGAGACACGGCACACACATAATTAAATAGAGAGTGTAACACCCTCAAATTTACAAACCGATTTTTCGTAAATTATTAATTCAAGAAATCATTTTTTTTTTCATTGAACCCTTATCATACCCTTATCATGGTAGAAAAATTTCTACCATGATACATCCAAGACAATATACCACAGGTCTTAAAATATCTCAGAAAGCAATTAGAACCATGAGGGACAGACATGATCCTCA